ATTTGGATTGGTCTAGCTTTAGTTGGTATTTTATTTTCATTAAATCCTTCTTCATAAGGTAAACTCACCATATGTTTTTTTCTATTCCAGAAAGCATTTGGCAAATCATTACAAATTTCTTCTTCTATCTTTCTCTTAATATTGTCAATTTTCTTTTTGTTTTCTGATAATAGAAGGTTTTCATCTATTAATTCGTATTTTATTTCTTCTTTTAAATAGCATAAAAACATTTCTTTATTTTCTATAGTCTGTTTGACATTATTAATTTCTTTAACCTTAGGTTTATCTATAAAATCGAATTTTACCTTATGACCATCTAGATTTGATTCAATTCATGTACTATCTATTTTCAAGGGATATAATAAATTTAAGAAAGGAGTTCCAAGGATAACAGCTTGGCTTAACCCCTTAACCATTATAAAGGGCATTTCAAAGCAATTTCCATTATTGCATAGAGCAGCATTAGATGATTTATATTTTATCATTAGTTTACTATCATCTGGTGTATTAAGTATCTGAGTAGTTTTGTCAAAATATTTGGTTGGTACTAATCCCTCATTTATATAATTAAGGTCAGCGCCTGAGTCTATTAAGGCAAGGGATTGAAAGCTATATTCTCTGTTTACTATTATTCTTATCAGGGTAAACCATTTTTGAGTAATTACTCTATCCAATAAATTTCGATAACTGTTTTCTCGTAAATTTTTATTGGTTGGGCTGGAGGATTCTGGCTTGTCTAAATCAGGAGATACAATTGGTGATACTATTCTTTTATGGGTATCAAGAAGGCTATCAACTTCTAATTCATCATTAGTTCCTGCATCTAAAAAGTCAGCAGTCATTTCTAAAATCCTTATTCTATTTTTAAGATGCTGGACCTCAGTTTTTACCTCATTTATTTCTTGCTTCAACTCAGAAATAGAAGGTTCCTTTTGTATATTCTCTTTTATTGATTCTTTTAAGTATTTCTGCAAAACTATATTCTTCTTGTGTTTTAACAAGAGGAGCAGGTTTATTTTTTATTTTAGCTATTTTCAAATACTGTATTAAATTTCTGGGTCAGATATTTTATCTATTAAATCTATAATTAGATTTTCTTCATTTGTAAGAGTATTAACCATTTTACAGAGACAATCTTCTATATCTTCTTCAGAGTCTGAGGTACTTAAGATTAGATTTTCATCCTCGATTTTTCCTACAAGAGACTCTGTTTCGGAATTTGAGGTATCCATATCTGATTCATCATCTATTTGAAGTATATCATATATCTGGGTTTTGATATCCTCTTTCAGCTGTAAGGCATTGATTTTCTTTTTAACCTTACAATTATTTTTATAATGTCCTACCTTCCCACAATTATAACATACTAGAAGCTTTCTTTTTCCTTTCTTGAATTTGGCTTTCGAGGCAAATTTCTTAGTGAAATTTCCCTAATATCTTTCTTTTGCCCAAATTTATGCTTTTTATTCTTATTTTTTCCTTTATATAATTTATCAGATGAGGGTACCGTGTTATAACCAAATTGTTCGCAGAAATCTCCTAATTCTTTTTTCCCCGTCATTCTCTGTTTATCTAACTGCCTCTTTAGTTTTAAATCAGTGCATAGGGCAACACCTTCTGCACAATTTCTGCAGACAGTTCTCCTAGAGTGTAAAGGGAGTTAGGGATTATTCCTTGATTCTTATTTTTTAGTCTAGTTTTTACCTTTTCAGCAAACAAATAGAGTAGACCTGCTATGAATTTTTCCTTCCAATGGTCCGCACTGCTATCCACTCGGGTTAGAAAGCGTGAAAAGAATACATCCTTATACCACTTATAATGAGATAATGTTGGACATTTGAGATTTGATAATAAGTCTTCCGACCTAGCATTTAACAAAGAAGTACTCCCTACAAAATGGAGGGCTATTGTATATATGAGTGTATTGACAGCATCACTTTCACTATGGGGAATATCTTGATTGAATTCATTCTTTACAGTCCATTGTCTTGTGGCATTTAATATTTGATTTTTAGTGGTTTCACTCATATGAAAGTCCCACCAGCCTCGTAGCCATCCAGTAAAACCACAGACAATAGCCTTAGTTATTTCCTGGTCATGATTTCCTGCTACTTTACAGGCAGTGGCATACATAGTAATATGCTTCATGGTATCGAGTATCTGATGGTCAGACATACCATCAATATTCCAATTAACGATCGTCTTTCCTGAGTAAGATACAGTGTGGGAAACCAAATCTTCTTCAAACTGTATATCTACTGGGGTTGGTCTAGTATCGTACATTCTTGATTGAGCCGTAGGTCTATATATATATATATATATATATATATAT